GTCAATTTTTATCAAAAATTTTAAAATTTCTCAAAAATGTATTTTTTCCTAGTTTTTTTTAATAATTTAGTTTTTGGTACGGGACGTTCCAGCAATTTGCCTTAAGAATTTTCTTTCCAAGTTCACCAAGTTTCCTTAAAATTACATAAAATCGATCATAAAGAATCAGAATTATTGGGACAACAAAGATGGTCTCATTATTATTTCTAACTAATTCAACCTCTTGTAATTAATTGTAAGATAAGGCGGAGATCGAAGGCGATCGTCGACTATCACTACTGAACTATTTTCTATCTAGCATTCGTTGTGATCTTTTGAACAGTTTTTCTTCGAGTTACCTTGGCCTGCGTAACCGAGCGGTGGCGACGAGGTTTCCGCAACTCCGCGCTTTTCCTGACTTTTCCCATTCGCCGGCGCTACCTGTTTGGCTTCCTCGCACAATGCCCAGCATGATAATAGAAGCACTAACGATGTAGTTCTCTGAAACAATTTTAATAAAATATAATCGTTATAATGGTACTAAATAATTTAAAATTAGTTAACTGGGTATTCTTGTTTTTTGGAAAGTAAACGGTTTGCAGTTACTTAGGGGGTGTCCGTTAATCATGTGAGGTTTTAAGGGGGAGGGGGGTCTAACATAAAATCATAAAATATCACTAAGGGGAGGGAGGGGTATAGTAAGATATCACGTGTATTTATTTTTTACCTGATTTAAAAAAAATCAAATATTTTCTAAAAAAAATGAAAAAAATTACAGTTTTGTCACGTAACTAAAAATACACGTGATGTTTGGTGGGGCAGGGGGGTAATTTTGAATATCACCATGTATCACCAAGCGGGAGGGGGTCCAAAAATCCTTAAACTTGCTCACGTGATTAATGGACGCCCCTTATATCTCTAGTTTTCCATCTAGATCAGTTTTATAAGATTAAAAATCTTTTGCTGAATGTGTGTACAATTTGGCAAACCTGGGCTGAGCAGCTATTGTTGTTGCTTTAGAAGTTTCTTATCAACTTATAAGTTAATTAAGAATATACATTTAATTCTATAAGAAAATTAGATCTGAAAATTAGGTGAAAATCTACCGAGCCGTCTTCTTGTAATTAACTGAAAAAAAATTAAGCCAATTTTTATGGAATTTTTTAGCGATATATATCATGGTCTTATAGAACTTACTCTAATATTATGGCCTTACAAGTAGTTTAATTTTAAAAATTTATCAAAGTTTGAGAAAATGAGTAGTTTTTTTGACGTTAGCTAAAATTAAAATTAGACGATTTACTTGGTATAACAATATAGTACTTGGTCTTAATAAACATACTAAACCATTAAAATCCTACGGAAACTGGTTCAAATATAATAATTGTTGATTTTTGAAAAGTTGCTTTTTGAAAATACTCCGAGTTAACGTGTTCGTTCGTTTTCAATTATATGTAATAAATCCACTCATAAATCAATTTATTTTTTATTGATTAAGTCGATTATTTACACATATCGGGAAGTTTATGTAACTTGCTTCCAGGTTAAATACCAATACCAACTAGTTTGATTTTCATTTTAACATATATAACACAAATTAAAAATGAAAGGGTTAAGACTTTTTTCAACGATGGTTATTATCATAAAGTATTATGATAATCATCAAAAAAAAAAAATTCAATAATTCTCAATTATGAATAAACGGTCCCGAAGATCTTCACGAAAGACTAATCAACATAATTCACAACATGTCTTACAAACAGTAATTGAATTTCTAGGCTCGGTTCAGAATTTTTAACCAAAACATGGAAGTTTGGCCAAACACACTTAAACTTTCTTAAAATGGTCTCGAAAGATTCAACATGACTTAAAGCATCCATAAGCATTCAAGCTATTTTTACTATTGCCATATAGTAATTTTTCATTCGTCATTCAATGCGTTATAATTATATTGTTTTGCAAATCAGGTAATCTTTGATTATGCCGTGCGATGTTGTTTATATGGTAGGTCGTTACGTACGCTGCACCCATTTTACTTTCATTTCAGCGGTAATCTCTCGAATGTATCATTTAAATGATTCCGTCATACGGAACAGATTTTGCTTGTCGGAAAATTTGCAATGATCAATCCACAATCGCTTTCTGCACGATTCGATACAAATATGCATATTCGTATATCCGCACAATATTCAATTGTTTTTATTATTACACAGTTTTATTTAAAAAACAACACAATTCCACTATAAAATTCATATAGGAAAAGTAAAATTTATAGCACGAACCAATTTATTGTACAATGAATTGTTTATAAAATGCGGATGTTGTTGCCCACCGGTTGGCGTTTGTTGAGCCTATATCGAAGTTTTTCGATATAGACTTCTAGTTATGC